CTGCTGATTGACTCGCCCACTCGCCATCTTTTGTTTCTGCTGTGTGTGACTGTGATCGATCTTATGCTGTGGTCCAGCATATTTCGTGAGGAACGACTCCAAATTGGTGCCACTCTGCCTGATTGGAATTGGACCGGTGAGTGCGTGTTTGGTGAGGCTATAATTCTCATTTTGCTCTCAAGAATGTTTTTGAGATGGGAAAATAGAAAGGCTTTTTAGAAGCTGGGTTTGGTTCAAAGTGTTTTAGGTTGAGCTTTTTATTTGTAATATTTATATAATTATTAAGATTTTTTTTAGTTTTTCTTTTTTAGTTTTATTTAAGTAGAAAATGGATTTGTTGTGATATTCAGTATTATTAGGATTCTTTTTTATTCTATTGTGTTTTCCTATTGAGATTATGGCTTTTGTTTTTTCTTTTTTCTTTTAAATAAGAAGGATTTAATGAATAAAAAGATAGATATGTTAGGAAGTTTCTTCAAAATTATGATGGTACTGATTTTTTAGGGTTTTCACATTTGAAGAATAAAAAATCTGGTTGCCGTGGTGACTTGGTTAAAGCCCACCTATCAATGCATTGATTTTTTTATTTTTTTTATTTTAAATAATATTTTTTTTAATAATTAATCCATATGGATTTATTATTCAGGTTTTGTAGTTGCCGCCGACTCAATGTGTAAAGGTATAGATTGGATTAAAAAGAAAGTAGTTGTGTGGTCAAGAAACTCCTAAGAATTGATATGAAAAAACATATAGGAGAGAGACGTGTATTTTCCACGTCGTGGTGGGCCCGTGGCCACATAAATGTGATAGGGAAGGAAAATCCCAATTCTCTGAAATCAGCATTTATATTTTAATATTTTAATGTAGCTTGTTATTTTAACTTATAATTATTTTTTAAAATATTTTTTGTTTTAAAATATTTTAAAATAATATTTTTTAAATTTTTAAAAACTCATTTTTTTTATTAACACATCAAAACAATTTAAGAATATTAAAAAATTAATTTAAAATGAATAAAAAATTAAATATTTTAAGAAGAAATTTTAAAATGAAAAAATAAATTGGTATTATAGTAATGGTTAATTTTTAAAGTATTTTTATTTTTTAAAATATATTTTTATTTTAAAAATTAAATTTTGATATAAATATATAAAAATAAATATACAAAATAAAAGATAGATAGATGGTTGTTGAGAGGCTGACCGAAGAGCGGAGGAAACCTCAGGCGCACCGCTGGCGAATATTTTTGTGGTTGTTACGTTGTTGCATGAGAACCCAAGGACTGCCAGGTGGCAGCAGCCCACGAAAAAAGGTTAATAGGAACAAATTTTGATTCATGAGCCGGGATCTCGAAGCAAGATTTTTTGTTCTTAATAAAAACTGTTAATTCTCGTGTAAAACGAAGTCGTTTTTTTATAATATTTAATAGGATTCATAAAATACTATCAATTATTTTAAAAATTCAAGGGATAAGACTGGTATATGAGTTGCAGCAGGAAAGCTACCACCTAGTTGTCTTTTTCTGTGCCTTGTCTTAAAAATATAATCTTTTTATTTTTTTTCATTTTTCTTATCCCGTTAAAGAACTCCCTGCATGCACTGGCTCCGTGTGTGCGTAAAGACGGCCGTTAATTAATTTAACGATCATTATTGTCCATCTTGTGGTTTATTAGGAGATTAATATCTTTGTGGTATGAATGGGCTTGAAAATATTTTAAAAAAAGAACACAAAATCTGTAATTTTATTAAATCAATCAATTAAAAAAATTATAAAATAATATTGTTTTAAATTAACCCAATTACTTTTGAAAATGTTTTTTACTTAAAAATATATTAATATAATATATTTTAAATTCTTTAAAATTTATTATTAACATGTATACATTCAGACATACAAAAACACCAAGCCCCCCGAAATGTGTTCATAAGAATTTTTTTTCCAAGCCATGAACGTGATCCTCAGGCTTCGGATTCACACTGGTTTTCCTAGGGGAGTGGGCCTCTGAACACGGATCCAACAAACCTTCTTGCATTGGTCTCGAGATGTGATGAACATGTGCAGACTGAAGACTGGTGTTGTTTTTGATAAATCTTTACACGGACATGTCGTTAATTATACACTTGTTTTTTCAAACAGACAAGGAGCATCTCCAACTAAACAGCAACAATAAATTAAGAGAACACGTGAAAATTCATAATTAATCTGAAAATGTCAACTATAAATATTCAAAATGGGAATATATCATCAGCACCACCTGGCAAGACCCTCTTGGAAATCATAAAGTAACAATCTTTATCCCCCGTTTCTCTGGTAAAAAAATCATAAATTTCTTTCTTAGAAACCATAAAGGAACAAACTTTTTTAGTTTAAACTATATTATTTTAGTTTTTTTAATGTATCTAAATCATTTTAGACAAAAAAAAATTATTTTTTTTAAATATCCTTGAAGTAAATCTAACCTAACCAGGTCAATCTAAAAGATAGTTCAAGATAAAACACAATGCCATCCAAACACTAAATCGACGAGTTACTAAATCAACTTGCCTAGCCGGGCCGGACCATGCTTAATAAGCCAGATGGAAGCAATGAATTTTATATCCAGCATCACAGATGGATCCCAGAACTGGAAAGAGAATCATCAACCACGGTGATGTGTCTTCACAGATGCTCAGAACCATTGCTCAACTGTGACTTTATTGATGAATCTTCGTGCGTCAAACAAAAAAAAAAACACTGCAGCAACCCCTCTCACGTCCCTGGATGTCCAAGTTAAAAACCCTAGCTAATGCGCTAAATCTGGTGCACATCATAGAGGCAGGGCATGCTGTTTTTCTGTTGTTTTGAACTCACCGAGGATCAGAAAACATGCACAACCCCTTCCCCCCATGAGCTCGCAGCAGTCAGATCCAGAAATTCACTTAAAAAACACATAAAATGCACTAGCAAAATCATACCAAAGCGAAATGCTCCAAATCCTCTATTCTCTTACCAGCCATACCAGAAGAACTAGAGGCATCCAAACATGCCCACCTGGCAATGCTATACTAAAAATCATTCAGCTATTCCATACCTCTCACAAATATAGCTAAGAAAAGCTACAATGAAAACCTCTCCAAAACAATGTTGAGTCAAGAGAGCTCACAAATACTTAGAACCATTGCTGTGAGTGTGATTCGTTTAGTAACCCAACCAAAATGCCCTGGGTGTAACTAAGGCAATTATCCCTCAGTCACGGGAATCAAGGGGCATCCGGATGGAAGATCTTAGGAAATATACTCAATCCAGTGCGTATACAATGAAGCAGGATGTGCTTCTTGCTTGTACAAGAATCATAATGTACTAAGAAAAAAGATGGTTACAACAGCACTGCCATGTACACCCAAAGGAGATTATTGTGCTAAACAAACTGATACCAACTTTATAGGCAGCCTACAACATAGAACTCTACATGGGTAAGAATACTAAGTGAAGCCCCTTCCCCTGCTAAGCAAACAACATGAGGAGGCTGGAGGCTGGGAAGCTGAGACCTATAGCCATTCAATCAGGTCCTCCAGGCTCCAGCAAAGCTACTTCAGAAAATCATATCAAACCTAAGACACTCGCATCTCATATTACGAATAGATATTGCCAGAGAGAGGCTACATTGAAATTTGGATACCTGAAGCTACTAAATCATTTTCTCCCAGCAACTGTTTGTTGGAAAATCATTTGAAATCTGAAATACTCCTATAGACCTTTAGATAAATGATGCCACAAGGAGACAACACTGGTTATTATCAATTAAAGAAGATCACACTCAAGACCTAGAGCTATTCAATCAGACCCGCTTGGCAAGGATATGATGGAAATTACTTCTAGTCTCAGTAATAATATTCACTAGACATGCTATTCGTAAAGCTAGGTGTCAAAGATGGATATTATAATCCCAACTGAGTGAGGTACATTCATAGATAGCCAGAACCATTACTGACAATGTGATCCCACTCAATATATCTAAATTGTCAGCAGAAAAAAATACTGCAATTCCCCATCCCTCCATTCCCAGGATGTCCAGATAATATACAATGCACTCAATCTGATATGTATATCTGCTAAAGCAGGGTATGCTTTTCTATTGGACAGGGATTGCAATGCAGTAGAACAAGAAACTTTCCGCATGGCTGTGTGCACATACTGGACATTAGTGAATTGGCCTAGCTGTCTCCAAGTACGTGTAAGAAAAAAAAATGCAGCCCCTTCCATCTCATACTTCCCTTCATATATTGAAGGAAAAGGCTACACTAGAGACCTTTCCTCGACCAAAAAAATGTGGGTGTGGCAAGGCACCCTCTTTCTAGAGATGCTATTCAAAACAAACTTTAATGTGGTATAACAATAATGCCTTCATCAGTTATGCAGTTCACAGTAGATTTTCAATGGTCACCAATGATTGGAAGCACAGATGGGTGCCAAATCAGGACAAGAGAATCATAAACCCTGTTGAGTGAGTTAACTCAACGAAAAAATCAGAACAATTGCTCAAAGTGCAATCTCATTTAATAAATTATCAAACCATCATCGCAGAATAGATATCAAAGAAGTGTGCAGTGTATCCTAAGAAACATAGCAAGCTCAAACATGAGCGTCAATGATGAAGCAGTGTAAGCTTTCTCTCGCACAAAATCACAACATAGTACAAACTACAAACATCAGAAACTTCAGCACCAGCATATGCACCCAGAAGACCATTACAGTATGAAACAAACTGCTTCTAACTTGTTAATTATGACATTGAATTCTACCTTGTAAGAATACAAAGTGCAGCCCCTTCTCCTAGCAAGCTCACAACAGTCATACCATAGAAAAAGTAAGTTCAAAAAATGCGACGAACCATCCTTGTTTTTAATTTTTGGGCTACAAACAAAACCAGTACAAGGGACAGCAGAAAGGCAAAAATCACTATTAACTCTGATTTCCTATTCGCAGAAAACAACATAGCAAAGTGGGGGGAACATATCTAAGCTTCAAAATCATTAAGAATAAAGATAAGGGTACCCAGAATACTACATTTACCGACTCTCCTTCAGTTCTCAGGACATCCAAATAAAAGATCCCAATAAAGGTCCTCCATCTGGTGTGCATACAATAAAGCAGGGTATGCTTTTCTCCAGAACAAGAATAATTCTAAACATTATCGAATTAAGACAGCAAAGATCAACATGTTCATAACTCTACACGGTAAGAATACAAAGCGCAGCCTCTTCTCCTAATAAGCTCAAAATATCCACATTTGCATATATTAGAGTAGTTGATACCCAGGCAACCAACTAGCTATAACTAGCTTTGAAAGTTTCTGAATTTGAAGCTAGAAACAAAAACAAACAGCAACAGCAACGAAAAGCATAAATCATTACTGATTCTAATTTCTTTAATCACAAAGAACAGCAACAAAACATCTATAAACTCCAAGAACAATAAAATAAACAAAAGGGTACCTTCAATTCCATTCAATAAAAAACTACAACCGAAAACTCTTCAAGAAATCAGGATCCCTTTTCGCCCGTTCTCGAAACTTCTTAAACCACCTATCCAAAATATCCATAGGTACAATCAACTTACTCCCATCAACCCCACAAAAAGACTGCATATAATTAAACAAATTCTCCCCAACTTTCATCGCAACCCTCTCAACCCCTTTCTCCGCCGCTACATCCAGCGAAGGCAATGCTGCCAAATCCTCCACCGACACCCCGATTTTCGCCGAAAGGGGTGCCGTATCTGGCCCTGTCAGCTGCAACTGACCCCCAGGTTCCGGCCAATTCAACGTCAAAACCACCGAAGGGCGCGTTATTGTCACCGCCCCACAAAACTGAAATTCAGACCCTGGAGACTGAATATACACCGCCAGAGCTTTATCTGGCGGAAGAGTAAAGCTGTTTAAGAGAAAAATACAAATTTCTCGTACTTGATCATATGCTTCACCTAAAATTAACATAAAAAATTGAAATCAGTAGGATTTTGCCGCAAAATGATTTGAAAAAAAGAAGAGCAAATGAACAAAAGGGGTTTAATTTTTATTACCAACAAAAGTGTTCATGTCGAGGATCCAGTGAAAAGTGTCGATTTGTGAGAAAGCGGATATGTCCATAGGGAAACTGCGGTCGGGGAACACAACGCCGAACATTGTTTAAGGTTTGAGCTCTGTGTTTGTGTTTTTCTGCGGGGGTTTAAGGATTGAAGTGATGATGTTTACTTTTTCAATTAGGATTACTACATTTGAGTGCTGACAGTCATTTGTCTGAAAAACGGTGAAGTTGTGGGTGTAGAAGAGTCTAGTAGCATCTAGAAACTCTAGAGAGATTTGGAATGTTTGAATTGCTTTTTTTTTTTATTATTATTATTATTTTTAATTACCGTAATAAATTAAAACTTTTGGTGAAATAATATTTTATTATTTTATTATTTTTTATAAATGTGATATTTATTAAATATTTTTATTTTTAAATGCAAAAAAATAATTACTATATTTTAAAATAATAATATTTAAACTTTTAATATTTTTAAAACGCAACATATCATAAAATTTAAATATTTTTTTCAAATAAAAGAGCACACAAATACAATAAATCTCACTCTCTCTCTTCAAATCAATTCTCTCAACTCTTATCTTAAAAATTTTCATAAAACACTTGTTTTTTTCCTTTTAAAAAACTAGAAAATCAAACACATTTTAGTATTTAAATATTCTTAAATATTTTTGGTTTGAAATTTACCACCACCACCATTGTTGCTTTAACTTTTTTTTTTTAGTTTTATGAGCAAGATAAATATATTTAATTATTATAAATTTATGTTTAATTTATTTGAAATAAAATAATTTTTTATATTGAATTGAGATTTGTTGAATTAATAATAAATTAGTTATTATTATCAACAATTATGATTGATTTGATATAATTAAACATGAAAATAAATTAAATTTATTATTTTAATTAATAATATGTTGCGTTTAATTTGGAATTAATTACTGAATTAAAAATTTTATATGAATTATTAAAATCATCTAATAATATAATTATTTATGCTTTTATGATTTCATGCAACAAAGTATGAATGGGGTAGAGTTACAATGAATTACAAGTTGTGTTGGGTTGTTGATAAATTGATTAATTTGATATTTTTTATGAATTATTTTAATTTATTATGAATTTGAGTTTGATTTAAATCAATTGAGTATGGAAATATCAAACAAATTTTGTATCGTGAAACATGTTTAATTTTGGTGAAGTTGGCTTTTGTCTTAAATTTTGAAAGTTTTGATTGAGCTTACTGTGAATTTTATCAATTAGGGTTACTGTGAATTTTATCAATTAGGGTTGAGGTAATGTATTATAATTAAAATTATATCTAATTGACTAGAATCTATTTTTTTTACAAAATATTTTATAATATATTTATGACATGTTATTACGATGACACTATTATTCTTGACATGAATGTTAATATTATATATAGTAGCGAAAATAAGTTGCTATTAAATAATAATTTAAACATGTCATATATAAAAATAAAAAAAATAACTATTTGTCATGGATTTAGGTTGAATTGTAATGATATTAATATTAAAATTACTTTAAAGTGTTATATTAATGCACATTAGTATTATCTTTGTACCGATTATGTATGATAATAATTTTAAGACAATTATTAATTATTTCATCCAAAACAATTTAAACATTATGGTATTCTTGTATGTGAGTAGTTAACTAAAATTTTAAGATAATTTTAAATTTAATTAATTCGGGTCTAAACTAATTAAGATAAAAAGAAAAAAAATAAAAAACCTAATTAATCCGATTAGAAAATTAAGTTAACTTGTTAATTGGTTAATCCAAACATGACCTCCTCAAACCTCAATCTTAATTTGATTCATAACTATGAGAAGAACTAAAAAAATTATGAGTAATTCCTGGTTTCATCAAATTAGAATGGTGAAAACATAAGTAATATTTTTATCTATAAAAATAATTATTTAAATTAATTTTTAAAATTTTAAAAAATTTGAAAAATATGTAATGCAAGTAATTATTTAAATTTATTTTAGATAATTCAATAGTATTAAAAAAAAAACTGGATAAAATTAGTTTCATGATCCAGCAATAACAAAAAAGAACGAATTTGGATAAGTTAGTGAAACTAATGATAATTGAACATAATGGATGAAGTCTTTTTATTTTTAAATATCCATCGAAAACATTCTACATCCTACCCACATTGTTTTTAAGATAAAAAACTTTTTTAGATATTTAGACATTAATGAAGCCAATTGTTTCTTTGGATTGGAAAGATAAAGATAGTGGATATATATTTTTATATATCTTTTTATTTCAAGAGTATATAAATTTATTTTATATTTTTTTAATTAAACATTTTTTTAAATCATAAAACAATAATCAAACGGAAGATTAGAAACGAAACTAGCCAAGGTATAATCCTAAAAAAATTGTTTGAAAGAACGAAGCATATTCTTCATGGGCTATGCTTTAAAGGTAAAAAGTCCAAGTCCGTCCAAATCCACAAACCCTGCTGGAGAATTCTAGTTTTGTGGGTAAGCGAAACGGCAACAAAATTCTTCAATTTCTAATTTGAAACGCACAAATGGCTTCTTTATTGGCATTTGGCAGTAGAATATAAAATGCCATAAAGGGAAATAAAAATATAAAAAAAATCCTCTCCTCCTCCTCTAGCTACTTAAAAACCCTACTCTCTCTCTTTCATCTCCTCTTTCTCTCTCCAGCAATATAAAGGGGATTTTGGGTTTTCAATTGAATTTTCTCGTCAAGATCCCAAACTGATTTGGTAAATCAATCTTTCTCTTTGTCTTAAACAGAACCCATGTTTCTTTTAATCAAAAACTCAATTTTTTGAATCAATTTTGATTCTGTTTATTATCAGGGATCTTGAAGTTTTGAATTTTGCTCCAAGAAGGCTGCTGAAGTTGAGTAACCAGCCACCGCTACAAGGTGCCTTTCTCTTTATTTATGCTTTTTTTAGTAATTTTTTTTTCTTATGGGTTCAGGACTAGGAATTAGTATAGATGAATAAAACATAAGATCTTGATTTTCTTGTTTTATTAAATTTTAGTTCTTCTTTTGTTGATGGGTTATTTTCTCTCTCTCTTATTGTTTGGTTGTTTGTTTCCCAATTACTGATTTGCTTTGCGTCCCAGTTCTTATATTATTAGTTTGAAATTAAAATCTAATGAGTAGTTTTCTGCTGTTGGTGAGAAACCCTTAATTGTGTTTATGGCTTTGGTTGTGCAGGGTGGCGCTTTTGATTTGCGGGATAATAGCAGATTTTGATTTGGTAAATAAGAGTCAAAGATGGAAGATTGGGGTGAGAGATTTTTTTTGGTTTCTACTTTTGTTATGATCTGCTTTCAATTTGAATTGATTGGTCAAGGTGTTTTTGTCCCCTTAAATACCGTGGTGATTTATAGCTGCTTGATAAAAAATAGTATGCTTGGATTACTTTGTTTAGTTGTGGTTGACAGAATATTCAACTGTGTACAATGTTGCCACTAGGGTCATCACTATACTGCTGCTCCATGTTGTGGCTGTATTTGCCCCAACTTGAAGGCAGACTGTTTATTTATTTTGAAAGCACAAGGCACTGCGAAATATGGGTTTGTGAGGCTTTTAATTAACTTCATCAACCATAGCCCCTGACTTAATGTTTGTGTATCATTTCTTTATCTTACACAAGTAAGAAACATAAGGCTTTTAGACTAATTAAAGGAGCTTGTGTAAATGTAAGAATTGACCTGATGTGCCAGGCTTGCTGTAACTCACCCTACTGCTGTAACTCGAATCAGGTGACATCCAAATATTTCACCAAGGTTGGTAATTGTAATAGCAATTCACTTGATGCGCTGCCAGTGGTATTTTATATAAGATATTGAAAAGAAAATGACAGAGAGTGTTGTCAATTCTATATTCTTGAAGCTTACAGAAAGAATCTAATATATTTCTCTTTTTCAATGTAAATCTTTTGCCTCTTACATTGTTAGATGAAGTTTTCTCCATGTTCATGCTTTTGATTCTGGTATCTAATTTTAGTTAACATGTGTTATTTTTTCAGAGGATGAGCAAGTTCCACCTCTTGTTGCAAAAAACCAGCCTAAAAGTAAATGGGATGATGAAGATGTGGATGAAGATGATGTGAAAGAATCATGGGAGGATGAAGATGAACCTGATCCGGTATGATTGATAATGTGATCATGCTGCATCATTAACATTTATTGGTCACTTCAAGTTTCAAGATACTGAATGCTAAAATGTAGAATGTTATAATAGGTGTGATGATTATGGGAATATCATACACAGCTGATTATGGAAAATGGTAGATGGGATAGGACTCCTGGTTTTTCTAATGGAACATCAATTTAGCATGTGGGAGCACTCATCACCATTAAAAGTTTAATTTGCATTCTGATATTTTTTTTATATTGTTTTTTCTTTCTATGATTGGGGAGAAATTGATATAGGAACTAATTAATGAGGGGTTAGAGAACCATGATATATTTTTTTGTCCCTTTCAAGCGAAGGCTTTTAATATGATTAGTAATGCCTTTAATTGATGTTTTGAAAGGAACTCTTATGCAATCTGTGAAAAGTGTGCATATCTCTTGGAGCTATCTTTTTAGTTCAAGGGGAGTGGGAACTTGGGGAGGGGTAGGGGGAAGAGTTGCGGCCAGGGCTAATTGAGAAGTGCATACATGTGCTCTAGTAGACCTTAGCTTATATTATGCTCTGATAAGTTTTATGTCTTTTATTCCATGTTTATATGTAATAACAGAAATAAAGTGGGGTGCAGTCTATTATTGTTTATATATGTTGGTTCTTGATCTGTTATTTGTGGTTTCTTTATGTAATTGGATCAGGCACCTGTAGTGAAACCTCCTCCTGAAATTGCTCCTAAGAAACCTGCAGTGAAGTCTACTCAAAAGAAGGGAAACACTGCTGATGTAGTAAAGGTTCAACCACTTGATCCATTAGCCGAGAAACTTCGCCAGCAAAGGTATACTCAAGTTGCAGCTTTCATCTCTGTTAACAAGAAGTTTGAACAGTTCATAAGAAATCTTTATACATTGTCTCTCAAACCCATGATATCCTTGAATTACTTAGGAACAAACATCCAAGTGCAATTTGATGATTTTCCCCACTCATACCAATTTGATGCAACTCCAAAAATAGGATGCTAATATTGAACATATTTTTCCCTATGTAGAATTTTCTCCTTCCTTGAGTTGCCTTGTGTAATTGTTCTGTTTTAAGGTTTGGCTGCTTTGGTTTTTTTTCTCCTTGCATTGTTTTGGAACTGAAAAACAAAAATATGAAAAGAGAAAAGTTCCTCAGCAGACAATAGTGGAGATCTGATTAATGTGACTGACAAGTTGATCTGTTTTCATGGTGTTGATGGTTTGATTAGTTGGTAAATATTCCATGCACATGCACAGTTTGAACATTTAAGATTAATGAAATTTTTTCGTAAAATATTATGACCTCTCACCAAAATCCAGCTCGATGATTGGTGTTCTGAAGGCTGTTCAGGTCATATTTAGTTCAGTTAATTATTTCTTCTGGCAGCATGATTTTAAGCATGTTAACATGTAGCTCTACAGGCTGAAACTTCTCATGCAATTTAGTCAGGAGGTCTTGGAAAAATCTGCAGTAGGCATGTTTTGTTTTTGACTTATTTTATTCTATATGTTCTCTTTATCTGTTCTTGTAAGAAATGCTCTCTTAAAGGTTTAATTAATTGATTGTAGGCTGGTGGAAGAAGCTGATTTCAGATCCACTGCAGAATTGTTTGCTAAGAAAGATGATGAAAAGTCGCTTGATAGTTTCATTCCAAAATCTGAAAGTGACTTCTCGGAATACGCAGAACTCATTTCTCATAAACTTCGTCCATTTGAGGTGTGTTGAATTAACTTCATTTTGTTTCCTTTTTTCAATTAAATGTGGGTGTAATACCTGACCTGGCAAAATGAATACATTATTTAATGCAGAAAAGTTACCATTATATCCATTTACTCAAGACAGTGATGAGACTGTCCATGACTTCCATGAAAGCTGCAGATGCAAAAGAAGTTTCAACTTCTGTGAGTGCAATTGCAAATGAAAAGATAAAAGCTGAGAAAGAAGCCGTTGCTGGCAAGAAGAAGACAGGTATGTGTTTTTGCACAATTTTTTCTTAAACTATCAACAGTAAGCCTAGACATTGTGAACTTGGTTTTTTCTTTTTCTCTCTCTCTTTTTTTTTGGTTTTCAAGTCATGGATTTTGAAACATTAGTTAAATGAAATGAAGGTGTTGGTTCAGAACAGGGAAAATCTTGAGTATTCTGCTGTACAGGCACCTTCTGCTAGAATTTTGGTATTTGTGGCTCGAGGACCCTTATGCAACCCCCAGATACTGAAATCTCACTGATGGTGCCAAGGATTTTCCTTTTAGGATGTTGATGAATATAGCATATAGCTTTTTAATTCAACTTTTTGTCAATGAATTTGAAACTAACCAGTTGATGGTTTGCATGCTCTGTCCTTGCAGGTGGCAAGAAAAAACAGCTTCATGTTGGTAAACCTGGCGATGATTTGGTGGGTGATACCTACGATGCTCTCGATGACTACGACGACTTTATGTAATCTGTTTGGTTGATAGGCATTGCATTTTTGGGATCCGCATGTTTCATCATAAGCACATTAAAACACCATGATTGATGATGATTGAGTGAAAGCTGTAAACAATGTTGTTAAAGAGGAAAACATTGCGTTTTTTGCCTTTGTTTTTCAACTTGTTCTGTTGAACCCTTGAAAGACGTTATTCATAATCGAATCAGGCACTTGTTCCATGCTTCATCTTTCTCAACTCCCCATTGAGCTTTCGTATTAGCTTGTGCATGGCTCATCACCTAATTATCTCATCTTCTCAATTCTCTCGTTGAACACTCGGAGCATTTTTGTTTATGCTTGTCTTGCGTTTCGAACCGATGAAAAGCAGCTAAAATGAAACGTGAAAAAACTTGTATAATTAAAAAGAAGTATCTTATTATAAGCTTCAATATACATAATTTTCAACCGATAAAAAAACCATTATTTCATGCAAGTCGATCCCTTTCCCGTTTATATATATATATAATTTTCAATTTTCATTCTCTATATTGATATCAGGAGATTGATATATAAGATAAAAATCTACAGTCATAAACCTATCTCATTCCATCAAATCCAATCTTCCATATAAAACGAGAACAAACAATTTAAGTTAGGGGACTAAATCTAGAAACAACTTGTGATCTGAGACCTATTTGATAATTTGCTTGGAACAGCAAATATTTAATATCTCCATCAAATCCAATCCCCATTCAACCAACCAGCGTCCTTTCCATCAAGCAAAGATAACTCCCTCTGTAACTCTCTCTCTCTAGAACGTTTCTCGAACTGCGTAAACCGTAAATGGCGGATCAAGAGCCAGAGGTAATCAACGGAGTGGAAGCAAGCAAGAAGAGAGGGGACAAATGCGATCAAGAAATTGATCTGTATACTGTTATCCACCGTGTGATTGTTATGATCTTGTACCCTGATCCAGGAAGCAGTGCATCATCAACTTCTCTGCTGCAGCGGATCAAGATTGTGTTATCGGAGAACTTGCCTTTGCTTGGCGAAGGTTCTAGAAACAGTGGAAAGAAGCTTCTTCAATGGAGTCAGCGAGGCAGTCCTTTAAGAGCTCTCCTTGTTATCTCTGTAAGTGTGTACTTTCACTTTTTTTTTTTTGATTTGCATTTATTGATTGTACTCTGTACTCTGTGCTTTGACTTGTTTGTTCGTCACTGAATTTTGAGTGAGAATTGCGAGAAATAAACTTTTTTTTAGCAGAACTTACTATTTTGAGTTTTTTTAATAATATTATATATGTAGTTATGTGGGACTCACCATGCCAACATTAAGCGTTTAAGTTGAAAAAAGTTGAAAAATTCACCATTTTAGAGATTTTATTTTTAATTTTCTGAGTAGATTTTGACTTTTAACAATAAATTAAATTGATTTTTTTTTTCACCGGGGAATTGATGTGGTAGCACTCTTGTTGAAGATTTATTGATTATATATTACGTGTTCTCGTTATTGTGGAATTTTAAAGATATTGGATATTACAAAATCAGTTAAAATCTTATGACTAATTTGTAGAAAATAAAAATTCCTGCAACATTGTTTTTCCTATTTAATAATTTAGCTGATATTGATTGTATTGGACATAGACCTAGTCAGCTTAGTGCAATAAGTGTTGGTAATGAGAATAATATTTTTAAGTTACTTGGATTGGTTGAATAAGTAGAAGAAGCTCTCAGCGAAGAACAACCCCTAAATCCCGGAAGTATTGAATCTGGATCTGATCTCTTTTGGTACACTCGAGTCATAAGCTGTAAGGATCACAGTTCTGAATTCTATTTGATCTTGGTACTTTTCAATCTGGTAACTAGAATTGTGCACTACATTGTTTCTGAGTGTTGACGGGATTCGACTAACCACATGGCTTTATATGATTCAGTGGAGTATGTTGTCTGTACAAGTCAAGCTCTGCCTGCTCGCTTGCTCGCCTTATCACTGTTGATTGGAATTGGGAGAAAATTAATAAAGTTATCTTTTTTATTAGCAGAAAAGCTAATTGAGGCACTGGCATTATGAGTGATGATTTCTTAGTACAAGGCTGTGATTTTTCATTCCTTTTTCCCACTTTGCATATTTCGTTTGTTCTTTTCAAGATTATTGCAGTTGCATCGTATTAAGTTTACAGTGCAGCTTATTTTCTTGAGTACTTAAATTTTGTATTGCTGCCTTTCATATATTGTCTTCAGGACCTCTCATGATTCTGTCTATTTTTCAAATCGTTACAGGTTGGGACCATTGCTCTTCTTTCCTTGACAGGAGTGCTTGTATTTATGCTCTTCTTTCTGGCAGCTACTTTCAATGCTATTGTCATCTCTCTTCTCATGTCCTTGGCAGCTGCAGGAGGCTTCTTGGCTCTGTTCTTTGCTTTTCTGACAGCTATATACATAGGGGCATTATCAGTAGCTGTATTTGTCATTTCCACTGCCACGATTTCAGCAACTGTAGCTGTTCTGATCGTTACAGGTACACAGAATCCAGCTTTCTATCTTTTCTTTGAATTTATACCTAGAAAAATGTTCAGCTGTTCTTCCTTCAATTGGTTAGTGAGTTAAATGTAATGCATCTCAAGTAAAGTTTTTTTTGAGAGTTCATAGTTGATGTAAGCCAGCCTGTTATGTGTGATAAATATCTGCATCTCCTTGATTGGAACTTAAAATTTGTTTGAATCAGGTTGGATTGGATTCTTCTGGACTGTCTGGCTGGTGACAAAGAAAAGCATTGGAGTTGCCAAGCACTCGTTAATAGTGACTGGGTCAACAATTTCAGCTTACTCTACTGCCAGGCATGCTAAGGACCACTATAACTAAACAAGTTGGAAGCTTGAAGTGTCGTGGTGATCAGATGTTCACTCATGTAAACATCCTCTTATGACCTGGATATCAGTACTTGTTTTTGCTTTCAATAATCTCCCAGGAACTGCTGCGATTGAAGCGTCTATGATCATTGATTGTTGCTTGTGTATATCCTGGAAGCATATGATTAGATTTGTAGTGTAGTTTGAAAGCATATATGGTTCATGATTTATGTTTTTTTTTTTTTTGTTAATAGTGGGTATCCAAACTAGTTTATGTATATCTTGACTAACCCTCCAAAACCTTGAAATAATGTATGACATTTGCTATATGGGTTGTAGCTCGCGATACTCGATTATCACTCCTTTTCCTGCCGCTCCTACTACCTCATATAATGTTGCTCTTCATACAAGGAGATGGAGATGGTATGTGTTCGGATCACTGGAAACCTGGTAGCTATAGGAGAAATCTCACCTCGCCTGAATATACAAGTCAGATCCCGAGATTGCCTGGTTCGATAATCCTCTAGGGTTGGACAATGTTGCCCTGGGATCCTGCATATGATGTGCTTTGACATACATAGGATGTGGGAACTGTTTTTCTTGCAGTCCTTCAAGGATTTAACTTGGAAATGTTAGCCTATAAAGCCGGAGATGGGTGGGCTCATTGCAGTCAAAATGTTAGGATTGGGCCTTAATTGCATACGAGCGGGGAGAGAGAGAGGGAGAGACTAGGAAAAGGAAGGTCACTTGAAAAAATCTTTGAACTCTTATTAATCTTGGGTCTTTCAGTCCATGCGTGCCCGAAACCTCATGAAAGTTTATCCACAGAAATTATCTATACAAGGACGGAGAAGAACTTGTTTGGCTTGGTTTCAATTGTAAGAACTTGTTTGGCTTGGTTTCAATTTTAGGCATATAGGTGAAAAGGATAGTGCACTCAGCTCATAACGATCTTTAGCTCAGTTATTACACCAAGGTTGGTGTCTTAAAATTGAAAAGGTTCAGAATAGAAGAGTTTCTTACAAGGCTCATCAAACCCTAAATTTGGATATCACAAGGACCACAACAATGGATTGGTTACTAAATAAGTAACCCGTGGACTTGTCTTCTTGAGACAGCATTATTTCCTGCTGCTTAATTCAGATGGAAGTCAGACATCAATGCTAGTAAACAGAAAGGGGTTTTCTCCAAAATCAAAATGATTGCTAGTAATTCCGTCATCAAATTTCAGCTTTACAAGTAATCAAGCAGAAACAAAAGTGGCAGGATGCTTCCTGTTTAGCTAATATTGCCCTAACTTTCTCCATTGATAACGATAGTTTTGCTTCATTCTATGCCACCGAGATTATAACCAGAACCAGAATAAAACAGAGGCTGAAGAAGACGTGATACGTGATCGACACAATGAAAAGAATTAATTAGCAGTAAGTACTCCTACTTCCCCTTCCTCCCTTTTCTCTCATTGCTTCTCCTCCTGGTTTCTTGTTTGTTGCCACAAAACACATTTTCTTCAAGCAAAAAAGACTTAAAATGGCACAGAACTAGAACTAATAATTATGTATCTATGCCTTCCCTCTCAATCATGAAGACCATGAAATTTTACTCAAGAAACTCAATATAAAGTAAAAAAAGACAACCATGGTATATAGCGATTGTTTATGCATGATCAGCAATGTTCTTTCCCGGGCCAATCTGGTCTTCCTAACGTGAACTCCAAGCTGGGGTTCTTGCAAGCCAAACTAGACCCCAAGTAGCTTTTCGGCCTAGTCGAATCGCTTTCCTGCAGTATTAATTAAGAGAAGTGCATGCCACCTCTTGTAAGAAACAGTCAAGCAAATCCATGTAATTAAACTCTTATCCCCATACGTTAGATTTCTGGAAATTTTGAAAAATCTTTAAGGAATTCTAGACTTTGGGATGATACCTCCATTAGTTGTCCAGATCTTTGTTGTGACTGGAACGTTCCTTGTCTGTGCCCATCCATCTCGTTGGAGTTTGTTTGCGGCCATGCTTCCCTACCACTAAAATGTAACATATATAATCGAATTAGCTTGAAATTATATTGACACGGTGCACAGCAATATTTTTGTTCTAGCTAGAGCGGAAAGAATTTTCATCAAGCCATATTAAGCAAAGTCTTTCTCTCATAAGGTTGTCTACAAGCTATAAAGAATATAACAAGGAGAACTTGTCTGTCAGTATATGAAAAATGCATCCACTAACATAATTGTTATCATAATTCATCATAGCATTTATTAAACAATGCATATCATTATCTATAGCTGAATTTATACCATTGATTTAGCTGAAACTTAAGTATTTTGAATGGTAACATTATCTCTAATTTCAAAGCTAATTAAGAACAACTCAACTTTCATTTTCACTGACATAGAAAGGTTAGATTTCTGTCATTTTCTCTTAACTAGTCCAATATAAATCACATTCAACACATGCACAAGGGCTATAGAGGAAGGGATGACGGAAGACATTATCTCTAATTTCAAAGCTAATTAAGAACAACTCAACTTTCATTTTCACTGACATAGAAAGGTTAGATTTCTGTCATTTTCTCTTAACTAGTCCAATATAAATCACATTCAACACATGCACAAGGGCTGTAGCTATAGAGAAAAGGATGACGGAAGAAATTTATGAATGGAGACAAAAGCTAAACCATTGTACCTATGCAATGCATGCCATTTCAATCCATGCCATTGAGTGTTTAAGAAAGGCCTGAAAAAGGATGTTACAGGAAGGGACGAAGATGCATTTGATGAACTGTTTTTCAAAGCTATGACATTTGAGGAAATGTCAGCATAAAAAGTGTAAGTTGCTTCCAATCTAGGTGGCTCTAAAAGCCCTAATTAAAACATTCTCTTTCAGACAGGGTAGTATCTAAGATCATCAGAGGTTTTAAATACTTAATTTTGAGAATTACTAGTACCCTTACGTTTTCACTTGTTGTAACAAGAAATCAAAAGTAATCCTTGATATTTTCAGCAAAAACATCATCGATTGCATCCAGAAGTCATATATGCATTGACTGCACCCAAAACCTAAAACTCCATTGGTGGATGTGTGATTGTAATATGGATCATTTGCAGTTTAATTACTTGAATATATTTTCTATGTTATAAATGGTAATATCGAGGTCCCTTCTCCTAATTTGTAAGCAGGGACATCTTATTTATTAAATTAATAATAAATACCTATAATAAGATGAATATATAGCGTTATGTTAATATAAAAATTCATTAAAAAATTATTCTAAGAAATATATTTATTTTATATTTTTGTCTCTATCTTTTCAATTAAATACATTTTAATTTTTATTATATTTTTTTTCCTATCATAAAATAGTAATTAAGATAGTGTTTGGTATCATCATAGTGGTTACTTTTTAAAATTATATTTACTCAGAAATGCATTAAAATCAATATACCAAAACGATCTAAAAATATAAAATAATAATTTTAAATAAAAAATAAAATTAAAACATGTTTCCAAACACTATCTCATATTTATTACAAGTTAGTTTAGGCATAAAATATTATAAAAACATTCTGTGCATGTTATACATAGTTGCATATTGCAAATTTTCACGTTAATACATGCCCAATACAATCGCACTCTTTAGCATTACAAACAGAATAAAGAACCATAAATATCAATTAAAGGACTATATATAGTGGAAGCAAAAAAACCAGTGGAGAGTAGAAATATCAATTAAATTTTAACCTGGAATTCTACGTGCTATTTAGTGGAAGCAGGTGCTAATTAATTATTAATTAACTACTAATTAAACAATGCACAGCACTAGGATTGTTTAATTGAACTTTAAGAAGAGGAAAGCACATAAGAAGTCAAGATGGGAGCCGATGTTCTCGGTGATATATGCAATGTGTCTCTTGGAGGGAACAAGAACCAGCTGGGTTTAACAGTAATATATATGACAATATTATATAGTAATTTTAAAAAGAAAAAGAAAAAGAAAAAGTGCAGCTGAGGGAATTGCTTCCTAATCAGTGTTTGATTGCATTTTAATTACTTTTCTTTTTTATATAATTAATACGAATGAATTAAAGCTACTACTGCAAATCTCATGTGTGCAGGAAGATCTTCCGAGACACAAAAGATCAAGAAAGAAAAAGAAGAGCATATATATATATATATATAATATAGAAAGCAAAAGCTGACTGCCTACAACATGCAAGAAGAACTCCTTTTATTCCTCAAAAAATGGTGTGGACGTGAGTGGGTTTTGGCTTTCTAAGCTGATCAAGTACGATGCAAAAAGAAAAAAGAAGAAGAAGAAGAAGAAGAAGAAGAAGAAAGCATTCTATTTCATTAGTCCATCACTCTCCTTTCAAAAAAGTGTAGGGCACAGAAGAGAGGCACTGAAAAGAGAGACAGAGTTACCTCGAAGAGTTGCTCCATAGAGTTGTAGTGGTAGTAGAAGAAGGGTAGTCCATGTCTTGTTGTACAGGTGACCCATCTGATTGTACTCCTCTTTGCAGCCCACCACGCTCATTTGCAGTACCATAACTTCCAATTGGAGACATGTCTTCTTCTCCAGATCCATCTGCTTTACCCTTCAACAAATTAATATTTACCCACCAAAAACTTCAAATAAAATGCAAAAGCATGCACACACATTCTTACATTGTACAAAAAAAAAACACACCACAAAATTCTTGAATGTACATATGCGCGAGTGTTCGATGTGTTTGTGTGTCCATATAAGACATATGCATGCAATGCACAAAGTGTACATATTGAAGAGAAGAAACAAAAATAAGACCATCTCCTCAAAAAGAGAGAAGAAAAGGCTGAAATATTGAAGACTAAACAACGCGAATTACCTGAAGAGGATGCAGGCTTGTCAGTGGTCTTGACAGTTCTATACATCTGCAAAGTCCAATAGGAATCCGTAGGTAGTAAAACAAAGACTATTCAAAGGAAGACATATGAGCTAGCAAAATAAAATTAAAGAAAATGAATAATTAACTTTAGAATTGAAAACCCTTTTCATTTTTTTATTTTTTTAAAATCAATCTCTGGCTAGCTTCTTTTTTTCTTCTCTGTGGGCTTCTGTGCTTGTCTTGGATTGATTCATTAATCACGAGGTTGATGTTTGATAGTAATGAGTAAGTGTATTATTGAGAAATGATGACTACTTTTGTCTGCCATCATCCTCTCTCTCTCTCTCTCTCCTCTTTGAAAGCAGAAACTTGTCTGTCTGAGACCTTTC